TTTTAGGTCTTGATCAGTGTATTGTGGTGGGGCTGCGGCACAGCAAAGACAATTCATGCTGCCCAACTTGGTCCGACATTATCTAATGTTTAAACCAGTCCTTGCTTTCTGTGTTCATACAACTGTCTGGAATCTGTTGGCAACGCATACTGAAACTGTAAGACAGAAATATAGCTAAAACTGAAAACATTTCTAACACATAAACAGTCTACAAAGATGAAATCCATTACATTACCAGTCTCCAGAGGCAGACCTTGAAGGATATGCCAGCTAGTGGACGGTTACGAGTTTCAGCATATTGGGCCAGGCTCCAAAACCCTCAAACCAGTTGGTAATTAACAGACATCTAGGTCCTCCACATGAAAGAAGTCTATTGTTTAAACAGTGACACAAATTTTTCCTTTCCATTTCATAGCCAGTCTCTGCCTGTGTTTTAAGATTCTCTTAGGACCATAGCAGCCTATGATTTTGGAAGCTCCACTTCTCAAATAATTTGTTTGAGTTTTACTTGCCAGGAATGTAAATGTGCTTACATCACAGGTAGAACAAAACCATTTTACAGACTTCTCAGAGATCCTAAATCTCCCCTTTCTTTAATAGCTAGAAAAAAATAATATCTAAATAATCTAATTAAAATCTAACATATCTACAATAGCAACAGAATTACAAAACTTAGTAACAAAACTTACTGAGGGCCTGTAAATAGTCTGCGATAAGTCTAATTAGTTAGCAACATACCTGCAGGGAACATTAGTCTGTGCCTTCATAAATAATGATGTGTTACATCAAAACTAAGATAAACCAAAAGACACTGCACTGAATACATTTTGTAAAGAATGAATGATCTATAATCTGTATGAAATTGCCTGTTCTCTGATCTGTTATATTAGATGTGTGAAAAACAAGAGACTACATATAAACCACACTTAAACTAATCAGTGTAATGAAAGAGAACATTATGGCAAAGTTACATTGTGAAAGAATAAGGTGTGAACACTTACCTGTAAGTGAGCAAGTTAAATCACCAAGAAGGACAACAGGGAGGATGTAACAGAGAAGGTGCTGGTAGAAGTACTCAATTGACAGGAAGATACTTTAAGAAGAGTCAATAAAACAAAGAACTAATCCAGTCAGAAAAGGACAAAAATCTAAATGAGAATTATGAAACATTTTCCAAATGCCCATGGCTTTCCAAAGTCTATGGCTTTGACTACTTTGCTATTTTCTGGAGTCTGACTAGCGTCTCTGTACCTCACCCAAGCCTATCCGGCCATACAAGGAAATGCCCAAATCCCCACCACATTTAAGATGATAAAAACATCCCTGGAGAACTGGATGAGATAGTTCCTTTTGGACCAGCTTCCATCTCCTCCCACTCAAAGGAGCCATTTGTGGTCTGGCCGTCTTATGCACTCACCTGACTTCTCTAAATACGACCAGAACTATGTAACACAAAAGCATAATTCAGCAACTCAGTCAACAGCACCATTCACCAGGACAGTCATCCCTTTCACTGTCACCCTAACAAAGGCACTAGCAAATAGGTAAGCATGTGCAATCAGCTGTCCTCACCTCTAGGTGCAGTTGGTCAGTCCAGGTCTAGACTGCAGAGCCCCAAGCAGCTTGTACAGCTACTAGAGGAGTACTGCAGGCAGGTTACTGGGATGTCAGCTCAGCATCGCTTGTGAGCTTCTGCCACCTAACAAGTTTGGGAAGAACTGAGATCACTGTCTCACTGGCAGAATTTGCTGCTATGTTGCAGAAAGCCTATCCTACAGTTCTAGATAAAAGCAAAACCAAGGAAACTTGGCTGTTTCCAAACTGCCTTCTTATAGTCATTAATTTTGTTTTAAGAAAGGCTTACTTCCCATTCCTTTTGCTTCAAATAACAAGAAAAATGTATTAATAACTTCTCTTTCATGTGAGGGGCATGTAGTCACGTGCTTCGAGCTTCTTCCATCACTCCCAGCTGCTAACTAAAGCTTCTGAGTGCTGCTAACACTTTATAAGGAATAACACACATTACACCACTGTACCTCTTCGCTACGTGTCCTCTGCATTCACTTGCTAAAATACAGAAAACTGCATTTCCAAGTACACTGACATAAAGCACATTTATATATATGTGAATGTAAAAATCTGATTTCAATTGGTCCTAAATTTCATTTTAGTAGCTTCCTTGATTTAGCCTCTGTTATAAACTGACTTCTTAAAATTGGCTGAGTCAGAGTTCCCAATTTCTTTATTTAGCAAGCGGCAACAAGCAAAACAGCGCTGGGTGGCCGGGGAGTCTCCTGCTCCAACAATGGACCGCACCCTCCAGGGCACTCTGTTTCAATCTTATACTACAAAGTATTACATAGTCATTATACACATATATATATTCATTACTTGAAACCGCCTACTCCTGCTTCGTATGGTAATTAGCTTATCAGTCCTTTACGCTTGCGCAGAAGTTGTTAAATCTACGGTCAGGGGTCTTCAAATCGTGGGGGGTGGTCTTCTGGGAGGAAGGCCGTAGGTCCTCCTCACAGTGTACGTTTCACCTTTCGCTTGGAATGTGATGATCCTCTGAGTTTGCAGAGTTCTTATCAGTCTAGGCCCAGTAATCTCTTTGCATAATGAGATTCATGGTCGTGAACATCCTCCTGTTTTATTCAGTTATGCGCCTGCAATTCTCCACATCTTCTGACGTACAGATGCTTCATCTCTTGTTGTTCCCCCCTCCCCTTTCCTGTCACTTTTTTTTTTTTACACTATCATGTTAGTGCAATTAAGCATTTGCTGTTAGTATTACACAATATGCAATAGTTCATATTACAGTTCACTGAATTTGATGAACAAACGGTTTACCACCTATCACAGCCTCCACAGACAGCCTCGGGACTTCTCTGCTCTCTTTTCTGGAGCTAGGCCTCACCGTGAGTGACCACCACGGACTGCAGCGGTGCGTGCTCCCTGACAAGTGCCAGGCAAAAGACCCCGCTATGGCAGATGGAATAAGCTCCAGCAGTTTGCTCAAAAGGGTTGCAGGATAATGCCATTGACTGCTTCCAAGTAAAATAACCATCATAGTGAGATTCCTAGTACTTACATTTCAAAGAATTATTGCTGTAAAAAGGCTCAAGCTCATTTGCTGCTCATGACCATGAAGCATACAGCAAGTTTATCATCACAAAAATTCAATTAAACCATCACCCTAACCATAGGAGGTAGACAGGCATATACAATCCTGTTATCCAACCATAAACACAATTACTGCACAACACTCATCATGAGATTGCTATATCATCTCCTTATTGTTGATTAATGCTTACCATATAGTTTCAAAGCATGCAGGCAAACACAGGTGGCCATTTAGGAGTCATTTAAGGAAGGAAAACTGTGAGGAAATAATCTTTTAAAATAACTTTTAATTAATAGAGTCATTATGATGTTTGGCACCATCTCTGTATTTTATTCCTTATATACAATTTGTAAAGCCACAGGTGTTTCATAACACTCAGTATTCACTTGCATGTGCACATACATTAATAATTCAGTAAAATTAAATTACTTAATCTGCAATCATCATCCCATAATGCAGTATATTCCAAGAGCAAGAAAAGCTTAGACTTAATTTTAAAATAAACAATTAGAGGAGAGAAATTTCTATTTTTTTAAACATAAATTGCTATTTTTATTGCAAGATTTGTCAGCACACTAGTAATGCTGAGCCACTCTGTTTACAACAATGTTACCATTAGTTGTTCATTTCTCTGGGTAGAGTTAGGTAGCGGTCATGGGTTAATCAGTGAATTTCAAACTCAGGCACAGATGTTGGCATGCCTATGTAAACATTTAAAAGGTTTTATAAAAGTACAAAGCAGATGCTGGACATCAAAATCTTCTCGGGAATCCTGAGTCTGACCAGAGCTCCCAGTCATGTAAACACACCGTTCCCTCACAGATTACATTTCTGCCCCTCTCCTCCTCCCCCCAACTAAATAAATACTTTTAGTAATATGCACGATTGAAAACGCTTTGAAAATTATTTGAGCATATTATGTTTATCTCCGCAGTTTAACGTGGTGGTAAAGAGAGTGACAAAAAGGTGATGACAAACCAACCACTCTCTCCACTTTTTAAGACTGGGTTAATTTTTGCTTCTGAAAAATCCCTTTACATAGCCACAACACAAAGCACTTGAAAAGTAATGCTGCTGAAAACTTTAAGGACAATATAAACTTATTTTCAGACTGTGAATCAAAAAAGCAGTAACAATTTAGCACCTCACAGGGTACAGCTGAAACCAGTAAAGGCAAATTGTGGGGGCCAGCAGTGAAGTTCAGCAACTCATTCATGTACCAAGTATTTGAATTTTGTGGACTGGAGTCAAAAGCCCAAACACCCCTCAGTAACTTGTTTTTATTCTTCCCTGGCCTCCCGCCGTGTGCCTGCAGCCCCACCGAGCTCAGTCAGCTGCCGGGACCCCTCCGGCCAAGACAAACTTGCCATAGGGGTCCAGCGACTGCCCTGACTCCCCGCCAGCTGTTGGAGGGGGGGGTACAGCAGGCTGCCGTCACCCCGCACCGAGCACACACCACACGGAGAGACACCACGTCCCCCAGCACCTCAGGCCAGGCGCGCCCTACCAGTCCCAAAACAAGCGGACGGGGCCATGTGCTCAGCCCAGCGCTCACTCAAGCAAAGGACCTGTCCCAGCCCTCCCCGGCCGGGCGGCTCTGGGCCAACATGGCGACGCCCCCACAGCAGGGACGGACGGCCCACCCCTCGTCCCGCCCCCAAGATGGCGGCCGCACCTGCCGGCTCTAACCCCGCCCCCGCGGCCTCTCCGTGGCAGCGCGGCCCACCCTCCCCCTCC